TCATGTTTCCAAATGATGACACTCTGCCCCCTTCCACACTCTTTCCCTCGCACCAGGGGAAGTGAGAAAACAAACAGCCTCAAACTACACTGCCACCACCATCTTCTCCACAGACCTCACCCAAGCACTGTTCTTAAAGTAGAGCAAAGTGGGAGACAAACCTAACTGTTGCAACCCCACTGTCTGTGTCCCCTTCACAGAGGTGCATGCATTCAAGTGACAGTTGGCTGCTGCCTCTGGTTTGCTAAACCCTAAGCTTTGGCCGGGTGATGGTGGCACAGGCCTTTAATCCCAGCACTCAGGAGGCAGAGGCAGGTGGATCTCTGTCAATTCGAGGCCAGCCTGGTCTACAGAGCAAGTTCTATGACAACTAGGGCTTACACAGAGAAACCCTGTCTTAAACACACATGTGCACACGCATGCACAAGCACGCACACACACACTTTACCTTCCCAATGCAAAATGTTTCACATCTGCCAGGAAAGAAAAACTAAAGAGTACATTTTTGAGCCACATGAAGTTTTATCTCCATGCCTGGACATCCGAGAGCCAAGCAGATGCCACAAAGTCGGGCACCTAGAGGGCAGCCTCAAATGCACCTCACTGCAGCCACTTCTGAAGACTTTCTGCCAACTGTATACAGTTTGAACCTGGCACTTACCAGATTCTAGAATGTCTTACTGCTCTTCCCAAGCTCTTTTCCTCCTCAGTTTCAGATTTGAGAAATCATAAGGGGGAAGTCAGGAGAATGGGAAGAAGACATCCGAATCTGGTTAAAATCCCAGGCTGGTGATTTAGTAACCACCACAACAACGTCAGGTGATTCAGGTAATCAGCACTTACACACCTCTAGCCCTGCGGATGGGCAGCCTGGCAGCAGGCACACACAGAAAAGCGCGTCAGCACGAGGTATCATTTACAGTAGGCACTCAGAAGGGCTCCTGAGTGCCCCCAACTCCTCCCTAAGGCCAAGTGACTAAATCCACTGGGGGGAGGGAGGACAAGGAAACTGACTCAGATGAGTCTGAAACTAAAGAAGTTCCCAATTTCAAGGCTAAGATTGCCCTAAACCACTACTTCATCTTTCTTTCTATATCTGCTCACAGAGCCGTGTGACACATATACAGACACTCAGGCGACCATGTCAGAAGACTCACACTCAAATCATCATTTTTCCCTGAAATTCAAAGAAAGAATCCTTAAAACAGCTCCTCAACAAAGGGGAAGACTTGTATTCTGCATCTGTAAACAGTGACTGGCACTGAAAATAAACAGTATTACGGAGCGCCTACTGGAAAAGTGGTACTCTTGGATGGACCGCTGCATGCAAGCTGCCTTCACAGCACCCCATCTGAATACGAAGAATAGAAAAGGATTTGCTTCTGTGTGAGCCCAAGGACTAGACAGGGCTTAATCAATGCAACAGAAAGCCACATGTGCACGGGATCATAAATGCGTGGGACCAAATAATGCAGCCTGATGTCACCTATAAATATAAATGTATCGATCAAAGACTGAAGGAGATAACTAAACTCATAACTGAAGACGCTTTCGCTGACCAGCAGAATGGAAACACCACAGGTGTGGGATCATATGTAGCCGCACACACGAAGACACATGTCACCTATAGCTCTACCCGAAAGGTAGATACAGAAGGTCAAATGAACATTGAGTCGGGTGAACCTTTTCCCTAAACAAAAGTTTGCAACCACCGTTATAGCAATCCTGGATAAAACCTCGGAGAGGGAGAGACTTTCCTTAGAAGAATTAAAATTCTTAAAATGTGGATCCAGTTTTTAATAGGAACAGTTTACAGGACATTTTTAAATTACCCCCGCTGATCTTAGTCTGGTAGTTGGTGCGAGCCCTCTCCTCTCTTCTTCCTATTCCTAGCCGGTGTCTTTTTTAGGTACGGACAACTCAACTCACACAAGCTGCTGGGGTAAAGGCTACGGTCACCAAGTAGATGTCTAATCTCTGAAATACGATGGACTTGTGTCACTTTAATTTTTATTTTTAGGTTTTAAGTATTCTAGAGCTGGAGGTTGAGCGGAAGTGCTTTTCTAACCTGAAACAGCTCGGTAATTGTTGATGTAAGCCATGCTTACAATGAGGCGATTGTAGACTTTCCTAAATCTAGTTTCCTTCCCAAAATCCCTTGTGATCTTTATTATATAAGGAAGTGAAATGGATCTGGTGTGGTGGCACACACATTAAGCCCAGCACGCAGGGGGCTAAGGTAGGTAGACAGAAGCCTGTGGCCAGCCTGGGTACGTGGCGAGGTAGAGGAGGGAAGGGAACTAACATCAATAATGCCAACGTGTTTCTCCTTACTCCAGGATGGGAAATCATAAATACATGCATACATAAAAGTACTATCTCATAAAATCTCCCTCCTAAAACGTGTCCTTCAAGCTTAATGTCCAGGATTAAGTATTTCTGATGCCTCCAGCAACTCAGGAAACTGAAAGAAAAACAAAGCAGAGTACACTGAGTCAATAACCTCAGGGAGAGCGGACAGGAGAAACCAACAGCGGATGGGGTGATCTGGGAGGGTTGCCTTCAGCCTGCTTCACACGTCTCTCAACAGCAAGGGGAACTTAGACTAGTGTGTAAACAACAGCAGTCCAAGTATTTCCCTAACACAAGGATTCCAAAAGTCTTTTAACTTTAAAAAAAAAAAAAAAGGAAAAAAAATTTAAAGATTTAATTTTTTGTTGGAGAAACTAGACTACTCTAAACAGCTTACAAAAGAATTGCATCCAGTTAACAGTGTGACACACGGTGGAGGAAAAAGTAGCCACAACAAACTGCAGACACTGACACCCCAAGGAGCCTGGGATTTACAGTCATAAAAGTCTTCAGACTTCACTCTGTGACCTGCTGGACTCAATAGGAGCACAAATCCACCATGTTAATGAAGGGCATTATTTTCCTAAAGATTAATTCCTACCATGTGTTATTAATCAGCAGAGTAACTGAAAGCTCATGCAAAAAATGCTCTCCCAGTTGAGTAGAACTTAACTGCGTTATTGTTATTAGCATGACTGCTGCCCGGCCTTCCCTGTGTCACAGCCCCCCCCCCTTCAAGCTCC